ATGAGCTAAAAAAATTAGTATGTTTGGGATGACTTTTTGACTTTTTACGAAAAGATGTGCAAAAAGTAGAGAGAAAATAAAATCTTTGAGTTTTTGGTATGGGTTGTTGGCTTTTTGGCTAATTTAGTAACTTTTTGACTTTTTGACTAAAAAGTTTGGTTGCCAAATGAGGCCTAAGTGATTCAAGTATCGCTTGTTTATGTCTCTTAATTATCAAATAAATAGCAAACCTCTTATTATTTTTTTATATTTTAACACAAAATCATAAGTCTCTCTTTCTTTCTTTCTTTCTTTCTTTTTTTTTTTTTTTTTTATCAATTATAATATTTTTGAGATACTATCTGATCATCTCTTAACATCATCAATCTATTGTCTATAGTTTTATAAAAATTGGAATTGAACCAAACTATTAAAATCATGAAATCAATATGAACCAAATCATTTATATATAGTTTGGTTCTATTTAGAACTACAGTTTTACATAATTTGTTAAAAAAAATCATATAACATTTTAAAAAAAATTCAACCTATCATAAATTATAGAAACAATAATAACATGCCTATCAAACAAATTACTCTCATAATAAATATAACATTAAACATATTGTTCAACATTAATCTATCATGATTTTTCAAAACATAAACATGTATATTATTCCCCCATTAACTTAAATAAACCTAACAAGTTGCAAATAAACATATACGATTTAAGTTATATGGTCCGGTTCGGTTCAAATCCGAAATTCAACCTATCATAAATTATAGAAACAATAATAACATGCCTATCAAACAAATTACTCTCATAATAAATATAACATTAAACATATTGTTCAACATTAATCTATCATGATTTTTCAAAACATAAACATGTATATTATTCCCCCATTAACTTAAATAAACATAACAAGTTGCAAATAAACATATCCGATTTAAGTTATATGGTCCGGTTTGGTTCAAATCCGGAACGGTGAATTGGTTTCCCAATTTTCTAAATCAAAACCGAACCATGAATTAAAAAAAAAAAAAAAACCTACTGAATTAATCTGAACCGATTCGATTTCCTTGATTAGCTCTAACCACCAGACTCATAAAGAGGAATGAGAGTTGGGGTCCTCACCTTAGCTTTTCCCACAAGGATTTTTACTTTGTGCTCAATGATTCTCATGTCTTACAATGGTAATTAATGGTAGTTAAGAAGGATAAAGTAAAATTTATTTGTTAAAAAATAAAATAGTAAGTAGCGCCAATAAGTTTTTATCTAACAATACCAAAATGCTATACATAAGTTGATTTTTTTTTTCATGATATTCTAATTATTAGACAAAAGATATGAGTTTTAATGTGAACTTGTTATTTTTGTGTCTAATGACAAAAAAAATCATTGATTAAAATTTATTTATGCATAAAATTAATTACTCCATAAAAAATAAAAAATTAAAAAAATTGTATAAAGGGTGATTGCAGTGTATCACGAGTAATAATAACAATTTGACATAACTTTGTACAAATTCGGCGTGATTATTAGACTTCTAATTTATGATCTTGTTTACAAATTCAACGCGAAAACTACGAAATAAAAAAAAAAGAAAAAGAAAAAGAAATTAGTGCACATTTACTATGGCTTTCTTATCCTTGTTTTTGTTCTCTTATTTATATATCTTTTAATAAAAACAATAAAATATTGAAAAAATACTCATCATTTTTATACTATCTTTATTTTTGCGTAAAAATAGTTTTCACAAATTATTTTTAGTTATTTATTAAAAGAAGAGCTATATTTAGAGAAAAAAATTGATAACAATTTTTTAAAGAAATTTTTTTATATACTTCTGGAATATCATGTATCATTTTTGAAAATAAAAAATTGCAATACACACTAAATGAATTATTTTTCTTTTCTCCCTACTACTTAATGACTGTGAGTCATCATGTCCCAATTATAAAATTTTTCGTTACAAGATTGGTTTGAAGCACTATATAGCCTTGTTACACGATACTCTCGAGAATTACTAAATAATTATTCTTTTCCAAAAATAAAAAAACTATACAATTTTTTTTGAGAATATAAAATTAATACCAAAAATATGTTATGTTCAACTTTCACATTTTTAGTAGAGACATTTGACCTAATTAGCATCTTCATGTAGACAAGCTTTTGGTGTTAGAAAAATTAGGTATTGATGAGTGACACTTTTGAGTAGGGCAAAAGAGAAACATATATAGGGGCACTTAGCCTCCTATTTGACAACCGACCTAAGAGAAAATTACTATAGATGAATGATCAGAAAAATCTAATCCATGTGAAATTGTAATTATTAATATTTATTATTGGAAGATAGTATATGCTTTTTAATAGTGGGGATGTGATATTTTTCACAAAAGAACACTAAAAAACACTAGACATAATAGTGTGACAATGCCATCATCAAATTTGATAGGGATTTGGGTACATCATTCATTGTATTGGGCCCATGCCCTAATAATTTTTAGAATGCAAGCCCAAAATGATAATAGGTCCAAGGGAGATGAATTCTTTGAAATGGGGGGGGTCAACTATATATATGTGTGTATTTTTTTTCCACCTTTTTTGCTATGTGAAGAAATGTGTATCTTTCACTTTGCAAAGCTTAGCACATGTAAATAAATGAATGAGCAAAATGGGATGGTCTGGTGGTTGGGTTTAACCAAAAAAGAGTGTTTTGAATTCATATATGATTTGGTAAATGAGATGCTTCCCTAACAGTGTAAAATTAAAGTTTGAGTTCTACAGTTACATGATTCAGCTTTCCCTTTTCTTATTCCACTCCTGCCTGTTATGATTTTTTTTTTTTAATTGTTGTAACGTTGGCCCACCTGGCCTAACCTAGATATTTTAGGATTTGAGATTAAATATTTAGGCATATTTTGAGAAGTATGTTAAAAATTAATTTGTAATTGTTTTTGAAAAAACGTACCCAAAAAAAAAAAAAAAAAAAAGTAGAGAGGTGATTTGATAAAAAAAACTAAAAAGTTAAAAAGTTAGATTCACATGCTTGAGTTGGGTTGAGATTTGAACCCATTTAATTTTTGGACTCAGGCCTCGTTTGGCAAATGTCCATTTTAGCTAAAATGTCAAAAAGTTATTAAAAAAATCAAAAAGCCAACAACTCATACAAAAAACTCAAAGATTCTATTTTCTCTCTACTTTTTGCACATTTTTTTCGTAAAAAATCAAAAAGTCATCCCAAACATACTAGTTTTTTTACATCACATTTTAGCTAAAAAATCAAAAAATTACTAAAAAAGCCTGTTCTCAAATGAGGCCTGTTTGAATTGAAGAATTCTAATTTGCCTGCCCATTTATAAAATATTAATATTACTTTATTGCATAATAAACTAGAAAATTATTAGAAGATAAGCATATATATATATATATATTCTATAGTTTTCTTAAAGGGCCAATTTAAACATATACTAAAAGGTCCAAATTCATTTACCATTAAATTTTAATAATGAGTTAAATTCAAATAATTATCAAATAGGTAACTTTCCATGACCAAAAAAATGCAATAATAACCCATACTTATCAAGTGGATGGATTTGAAATTTAGAAATTTTTTTTAGAGCGGCACTTGTGATGGATAAATTAAAGGATGACTTACATTACATGTAGGTCTTAATAGGTGAACTTATTATCTAATATGTCTTATGATTATTAATAGCTTTTCATCAAACATTATTAAAAAACGTTACTAATTATTAATTTTCAGTAATAATTTAAAAATTGTCACAAAAAATATTACTAATTATAAGTTTTGGCGACAGTTTAAAAAAATCTTCACAATTTTTTTTTTTTATTAATTTTCAACTTTAAGCAACAATTTGAAAATTGTGTCAGAGAAAAAATTTACTAATTATAAATTTTAGCGACAATTTATAAAAACAGTGACCTTTTATTAATTTTCAGCGACATGCAAAAAATTGTCATAAAAATTTATTTTTAGCGATGATGGGGAGTTAAAGTCAAATTATTAAGAGCTATTGATACTTTACTCTAAATTAAACCCAATATTGGACCAGACTGATTTTGAAATGATACATATACTTTTGTTACATAATGTAAGCCCAAACTAAAACCGATGACACGGACTTGGTCGTCCAACAATGTTTTCCTATAATAAGTTAGCCCAACAATGTTACTCTATTCCCACCTTTATAATAAGTTAGCCCAACAATGTTTTCCTAGATTAGGTTTGGGCCTATGACATGGACTTGGTCGTCCAATCTTGAAAGTGTTTGAAGTCCAAAAGCAAGAATAAATGAAAGTAAATAGTAAAGTGGCAAAAATAAAGATGGTAAATGCGTCAGGTTTAATCGAATAATGGATTGTTCAAGTAATTGATCTCAACCAATCAAACTCAATTAGCTTTCTTTTTATACATTTTATAATATTATATACAAATTTATCAAGTTAAATACAAGTCAATATTAAAATTTAACGAGTTTTAAAATACAATTAAACTTGACTTGTTTAAAAGTTAAGCAGCCCTATTCATTTTACTATCCTCCAAATATGTAATTCAATCGTGATTTACTTCTATGTTTAATTTCTTATTTTTTTGTTTATTAAGAGAGAATTTTCAATATTAATCTCGGTTAACTATCAAACTAATGGTCTTATAGAGCATTGGACAAGACTTTAAAGATATCAAGGACAGAGATGGAATACATGGTAATTAGATATTGTTCTAGTTGACGAAAGGGATACTTTGAGATTAATCTTTCCTAGCACTAATCTTGCAACACCCAAGTCAAACAACACATTTTTCTATGCTCTAATACCAATTGACATAGCAATAATTCTATATAAAACTATAGAAATTTCCAAAAACTTGGCATACCTTACACCAGCCAATGTTCTGGCCTCTAGCATGTTACGAGTGGAACGAGAAGAAGACAGTTGATTCAAAATCATATTATGCATCTTCTGAAAAAAAAGAAAAAATTCATATTATGCATGCTTGTTTGAATGAACGCATCTTATTAGGGTAGTTTCCCGTAATCAACAGGAATGTGAAAATTTGAACATCAAAAGCATCTCTGAAACAATTTCGTATAATTAATCATCAAAATAAAAGCTAGTTGTCTAATCACAACATCAGAACTCGATGTAGTCGTCTAGAAAACATAGTTCTATCCAATTCTGATGGCAAACCGATAGTGCATAGCCTCAGGGCTAAACTTCATGAGCTCTTCCTATGTTTGTTCCTGAACTACAATAAAAATTATTAAAACAATTAACAGTCAGTGAACAGGAACAAAGCAATCACTGAAGAATATTTGTTAAGGCGCAGAGAATTCGAATTACAAATGGTTTTGGCACGGAATAAGTGTAACAGAGAGTCTGAATAAAAATAAACGACAATGCTACGTAGCTCAAATTTTGTGGCTCAAATGACCAAAACGACGTCGTTTTGAGTACAGAACAACATAAAAATGGCCATTTGAGCCACTTTTGAGCCACAAAATTTGAGTTACGAGACATTTTTCAAAAATAAAAATGCATGAAAAGTATCAAGTTACATGTTCTGACTTCAACCAGCAATCAAGCAAAAAAAACAATACTATTATTTTCATGATTCATTAAAACAATACTACCAAAAAAAAAAACAAAAAACATATTTCCATGTCATGTTGCTTCTGCCCAACTTTCAGTTTAAATTTTCAAAACCCATTAGAAAATATACAACACGAGCTAAGCTCCTTCCATGTCATGTTTTGTTGTTCTTTGTGCTAATTTGAGAAAAATTAAAGGGTGGCCGAGTGTTCATAATTGGAGGTGCGATACTCTGTGGAAGTTTAAGTGGAACCACACCAGTGAGCCTCACACTAACTACTTACTCTTTTTTTCACTTGATTTAATTATTTTTCCATTATTTATTTTGTATTAATTGTAGTGGGGGTTATTTTATTTTATTTTTTTGGGAGGGGAGGGAGGAGTTGAGCTTGAGACCGCCCAAGGAAGTACAAGGCTTCTGGCCACTTGGCTAACCCCAATAGTTGTAATGGGGTTGATTTGGATATTCATTTTCTCAATTTTATCTGCGTGAGTGTTGAATTGAATTTGGAATGCCATTGTTGTACATTTGGTTGACGTGGGTTGGAGACCTCCTAAGCATGAGAACCATTACTGTGGCTGGCTGGCACCAATAGTGGTGACAATATTAAGGTGTTTTTTAGTTGTTCATGGTAGTTTTTTTTTTTGTTAAATTGTTCCAGAAAATAATTCTATTGAAAGGGTAAATTTTGGTATTTATAAACACTAATGTTACCATCTAAATTTTTTGTTAATGGTCAAAGGGAAGTCAACAAAAGGGGGAATTTGTATATTGTCAGGTAAAGTTGGGGAGGTTAGTGTAATTTCAGAAACTTCAGGCGTGACCCCTGCAATTGTCAAAAACCCTAGAAGAGGTCACTGTAACAACTCCTTTCACTTTTATTTCTTGAACTTCCCTGCACTATACCATCTATGACTGATTTTTGTTCTTAAGCAACTTTAAAACCAATAGGAAACATTTAAAACTGTCAATAAGGACACTCTTCAAAACTGAAAAACTGTATTACCATCAACATCAACATTCTGAACTGTGACGGGAATGAAATACAAAGCCTCTCCATTCAATAAGAACTATGTCTCACAGGATACATACCTCGAAGAGATTTCTCATAGTTTTGTAGCTGTAACATAAAACCAGAGTTAGGAGATGCCATCGGTCGTTTACTTCTCACAAGGTCCAAAGCTTCAGACGCACTCATATTGTGCTTCTTCATTAGATAAGCAACGACAATAGTCACACTGCAAGGTAGGAAAAATAAAATATTGTAAATGTTCACACAAAGTTCCTATTTTGCATAGTTAAGATATTCAAAATGACCAAATAGAAAAGAAAAAATAATGAAAATGGAAAAGAGGGAAAAAAAAAAAAACAAACAAACAAACAAAGAGAGCATTCCCATGGTATTGTTGGGCTCTTCAAGTCATTAGAGCAATGAGTAAGAAAAAGCAACATGTAAATGGTTGTCATATTTTAAGTCCCAATATCTCCACTGGACCTCTGCAACTACATTGTGCCTGTTTGGTTCTTTTGTCATTTTCTTCATTTTTATTTTTCATGTTTTCGGCAACAAAACAATGAAAACGTTCGAAACACCTATTGCTTTCATTTTTGTGCAAAAACAATTTTAGAAAATTTGAAATGACTTCATGAAATTTCTAAAAAGCTGGTGGGTAGCAGAAAATTTCTTAAAAACTATTTTCGGAAACAAATTGGCCACACAACAAGTTTCCTGTTTTTCGAAAAATGAAAACAAAAAAATGCATGTCAAAAACACAACCAAATAGGCCCATTATTTTTGAAATTATCATTTACATGTTCTTTGGCTCCCCCTACCCCCTCAGATTTGCCTCAAAATTCTTGAGAAGAAGAATGTATAAAAGATCATAGGTGCTTAATTTCAATCCCCACTGCTACTCTAGAGAAATCATAAACCATCCGTAATGTTAACCTGGTTTTGACATAGATGCTGAACATTTTATGATATTCCTTCACTAGACATAAGAACCTAAAAAGCAACGGAAATAGCGAAAGAACAATCACCTTCTGGATCTTCCAACAAAGCAATGAACCAACACACCACCACCCGTTCTTTTAGCTTCATCAATGAAATTGAAACACTCATCAAAATACTGCGCTATATTTACGTCTTCTCTGTCCTGGACTACCTCAATCCACAAATAATACCATCGATTACTAATAATTCGGCCACAAAAGTTCAATACGGCTTAAAAAATCAGATAGCATTGTATTCGAATACAAAATTCATACGTTTATAACATCAGAAACTTTGAATAGGCAGTAGCAAAAGGACAATTATAATATGATAAAATGAAAACTAACAGAACAAAACATATGAAGATGAAAGTGGAACAGCTTTAGAAAAACATACAGTGGAAATGGATCATCCTTACGAAGTTTGAACAGAAAACAAAAAAGCAGCTTAAGCTAGTGCAAATTTATGAAAACATTAAAGACCTCCTTGAAAGCATATCAACACATGCAATGTAATAAATGTAATAATCAATAATAGTTGTGACAAAACAATTTCTTATACTAAATGAACATAACTCACAAAAAGATTGAATTAAAAAGGAACAACAGTCAACGGGTTGATACCAAACTTTTGTAATACTATTTGTGCAAAAAAATTAAAAAAAAAAACTCTTACTATCAATTATTTTGTATGTGAAGTCATTTGGATGAGCGGGTGCCAACGAACTCGCCACAGTTAAAATGTGAGTTACATTCAAGCTTTTCAAACCACTTTTATTATTTGCACCTCCAACAGAACCCAAATAAAGACCCTGAGAATCCAAGAAGAATGAAATTGATCATTTGAATTGCAAACACCACGTTAATAGAAAAAATCAATAGAAAAATCAAAATGTAAATACATTAAGTACTAAGCAAAAAAATATCAGTCATATTTATTTACCTCTTCAATTTGGCATGGAACACTATCATCTCTAATGCATCTTGTTGCATACATAGCTCGCCAAAGTGCAGCTATCCGTTCTCTATAAATTTCATCAATTCGATTCATTGCTATTAAGAAAAACTATCTTTTTAATTTTTTCCCCTGCCTGCCCCCAAAAAAGTCTTCGAACTACCAAGTTTTTCAGGCGTTCCACAATTCGTAAACTTCCTCAAACTTGGAAATTTTTTATTATCAAATTCCCATCCCTAATGAAAGCCAACCTGCGAAGGCATCCAAAAGGTGCCAGGAACAATAGACATGATCAGAGTCGTGATATCATACAGTGACTTAGGACGCCGTCATATGTGTAGCAACTTAACTGGTGACTCATGATATCACACAGCAACTTTGAAACTATTTAATGGTGACTGCAATAACTAAATTCAATATAGAACGGCATACAAAGTTTCTTCCCACATAGGAAAAAGAAGAAGAGTAAAATCAAATTGTACAAGGTCTAGCTCAGTCACACGCAAGAAATCACAAAACTATTAATTCTACAAACCCATTTACAGTAACTAACTTGAAAGACATAATGGTTCACTTTGCCCCATTAAAACTATCAATTTGAACAATTATACTCTTAAACTATTGACATTAATTCATTTTATCCCAAATCATCAGCGTGTTAATATCATTTACTGAAAACCACACATGTCATGCACACATGATTAATTGAGAGTATTGACTTAGTTTTCCCCATATTAAAGAGACAAATATCCAGATACCATACAACAAAACACAACTAATTGTTTTGAAAATATTAAATAAAACACAAAATACAACCAATTGTAGCATATAGCTATTTTTGGATACAACCAAATTAAGCAAATCACATGCACACATATTTTTGTGTGTTGGAGGGTGTGTCAAAAATATTTAGCTCCATTAATGGTTTGGGGTAATTGTCAATAGTTAGTTTAAGGGGGTAGTTGTTCAAATTGATAATTCAAGGTAAAGTGATACATGTGCTATAGTTCAAGGGTGCAAAGTGAATTTTACCCAAAAAAGAAGTTTTCGAATTATCGAAGCTTCAAAACATTCTCAAGTGCGACGAGATGGTATTGAGTATTGAGGTCTAGATATGCTTAGGCAGTTTCACTTTCTTTGGCACCAAAACTTTACAAATAAGAGCACCTCCAACGCTTCATCTTTTGTTTCATCAAATTTAAATTTGATGAAAAACATATAAAACTGGTGTTCCAACGTCAACATCAAATCAGTATCAAATTGAGGATGCTGGAACGTTTCACCAAATTACTATAGATAACCGTTAGCTTTACAGGTGGCTGTTGGACAATGCATGAGCACTGGATGACCAGCTGGTTGTCCCCTGATTGGCCACCTCCTTGCAAAATTTGTTTCAAAATTTTGAAAAATTTACACTGGCCGGTTGACCGGCCGAACATACCCGGTCATCCTCCCGATCGACGGGTGGTTTGATGAAATCCTAGATTGCTCCATTGGAACGCGTGATAAGCTTTTACTCAATTTTTTTCTCAAATTTGATTGGAAAAAAAGGGTAAACGTTGGGGTGCTCTAACCAGACAAAATATGAACAACCCTAAAAAATATGAAATTCAACCAGAAAAATTCAAATCAACCCCAAAACAAAAATCAACATAACAACCCTAGAAAATTGAAATTCTCAACCAATTAGGCCAAACAACCATCTGGGTAGTTCCAAGAAACCCAATTCGAATACAATTACAAACAGAGAGACAATCACTAAGTCAATAAAATGGACAAAATTACAATCACTATTCAATTGATCGCGTAAGGAACTGATATCAGATTGTTAATAAAAAAAACAGAGAATAGTGTTTTAGAGAGTAAGAAATACTCACCCTTGACCAAGAAGATCAACAATCTACCAAAAAGATTTGGCCTTTTTGGGTTTGAATCAAACTGAAGAATCTGCAAGTGAGCGAGTCCTCTGCGAATCGTTGGTATATTTGTGTAAAAATAAATAAAATGAGTTTAGTTTTTCAGTTGGGTCGATTTGTAGGGGTGGATTGGTTCTTCTCCCTCGGAGTTCTCACAATTGCAGACACCTCCTCTCTAAGTTCTGATAAATTTACTTGAGGCTGTATTTGGGCTCGTGGACCATAGCGATAATTTCAGTTATTTATTTATTTTGTAAAATTTTATTTGATTTTAGATTTTTTTTTGTTAAAAAAAGTATAAAAAAATAAAATTAACTGTATAAATTAATAAAATAAAATATCACATTTAAATTATAATTATTATATTTTTTTCTCTCATAAAAATTTAAAAAAAAAATCAAAAAATTAAACTAAACGAAGACTAAAATTCTTCGTATATAACATCTTAGAAAAAAAGAAATTGATTCGATAATAATTGTAACTTGAAATTTTCTTTCTAGGGAAAGTTAATGAGAATTCTAGACAAAAAAAATAGATAAGGAAAAGAAAAATTACAGATTAGTGTTATCAAATGTTTATAAATTTATGAAAATATTTATAATTTTAATTATTAAAATTGAAAAACCTTTTTACTAATTTATATGTCCGTCCCAATTGAAACCTCTAATTCAATTGCTCTAAAAGCAACTCTAAACAAGTGGCAAGCTCAAAAAAAATAAAAAATAAAAAAATCAAGGCAAAAAAACACTAGGGAGTGGGTCCTATCATCAGTGGTAGCTCTAATTAGAGCTCCCAAATATTTTTGTTTATATATATATATTTTAAAAACTTGCACTACAGTATAATTTTCCTAAAATAAAATTCATAAATAAAATGCGAATCATATTAATAAATTCACCTGAGGCTCATTATATTATCTTATTTTTATCACTATCAAAACACAATAGTGAAGTCTATACATATACATATTTTTTTTTTGAACGAAAACATACACATCTCAAACAATAAAGTTTGCACACTCAACTCCTTGCTCAAGAAGTGTAGAAGTAAAACCTAGTTTTGAAGCTGCAAGATCAAACTGAAGAAGATTATCCTCCAATTGATGTGCCCCAATGACAATTGATGTTCTAGGGTTCAAACCTCCATCTAAAAGGCCTAAACACACCACTTCTCTACTTATCTCCACCATCAAATTAGCCCCATGAAGTTCCCAATAAACATCCTCGTTCTCAAACACAAATCCAATATTTGGGACTTCCACTCCAACCAGATTGTATTTCAAGTTTTTTGTGCTAAAACACTCCGTAAACGGTGTCATCGGTGCCACTCTAGCCACATTCATGGCTTCAAGCTCCTTAGCAAAATTTTCAGTGACTAAGTTGTAAATTGAACTCTCAAGAACAGTATAGGGTTTAACAGTACTAATCTTGGTTCCTCCAAACCCATTCTTGTCAATAGATAACAAGGTTGTGTTAATTTGACTAATGGGTTTTTTGTTAATTGTGATTGAAGTAACACCAATGAAATAGTCTGCGGAGGGCTCTCCTTGTACATCATCTGCAGTAGTCACCGGATTAACGAGTAACTTAGTGAAACTAAAGCTTGTGGTTAAATCAATGAGCTTTGATTTATTGTAGTTTGGATAGAAAACGTAACGAACATCGCCAAAAACCACGATGCCATTAGATTTTGAAGTGGATGATGGCAAGCACAAGGCGAATTTTCGACGAAAGGTCCCACCAAACCTCGATGTAAGTTGAGTTGGGAAGCCGATTCGAGTTCTGCCAAGGCCAACCACACCATTAATACCACTATCTAGGCCTTTTATTAGCCAAGCGCTTGCACATCCAAAAATAAAGTTAGGGACCATGGTAAAAGGGCCAATTGAAATTGTATCAATGGCTATTTCTGCAAATTGGACTGTTGTTGTTATGGTGTTTTCAATGGCAACTAAGCAAGTGTTGTTGTTGCAAAAGCCTTGTTTTGATGAGGAAAATAAGCATAGTTCACATCCAAAAATGGGTTTGGCGGCGGAACACGTGGCGGAGCCGCAGAGGCCGGGGCGGTACGTGGAGGAGTGGTTGTAGCCATTCTCACAATCAATCCATAGGAGGCGGCCACCAAGGTCGAGAAGTAGGGTTTGAGGGTTGAGAGGGGTTCCTAGGTTGAATTGGGTGGTGTATTGGAGGGTGGAAGGGTGTTTGGAGACTGGGAGGATGAGGGATTTGGGTGGTTGTTTGGGAGAAGGGTGTGTTTGGGAGAGGGATTTGAGAATGAGGAAGGAGAAAATGAAGAGTCGGAAAATAGAATAAGTAGCCATGGGATGGAAGGGAAGTGAGATGGGTTGAAAGAAGATGGGATAGTTTTGATGGGTGAGAGTTCATGGAATTGGCTTTTTAAGCTTTTTGGATAACTAGAAAGTCAACTATAAAAATTTTAAATTAGTATATGAGTTAAACAATTTAAATTTACAATGTATTTTTAAAATTATTATTGTGAATCATGGTCAAAACTTGATCTTTGATTGTTGATTTTGAGCAAATTTCTAATTCCCCTTTTTCTTTGTTTTTTGGATTCTTGGAGCTGTTGTTTGTATAATAATGCATATGTTCGACGCCAAACTTGACCTCAGTGAAATAATGGACCTAGGCTAGTACTTGGCAATCGCACATTGTGTACTTTAGGCTTATTTGCTCTATCTCTTCCTAGGAGTGTGAAAGTGAAAATGGCTCCTGTGGGGGCGGTTCAAAATCCTGTGGGTTGTGGTGGGCCCGACCTGTTTAGGTTTGGGTCTGAGCTCAACTCAAGTCTTTGGGATTGGACTTAGACTATTATTTTGAAACTCGACCTGTGGCTTAACCCATCAGCCCATTTAAAGTTCACTCAAGATCCGACCTGAGGCTCGACCCGTTCGAGGCCCACTATCTTTTTTAATAAAAAATAATAAAATTTTAGTAGAAAAAAATAAAAAAAACAAAAAAAGTGGTTAGGCCCGCCTAAACTCGAGGCCTGGCCCATTGGACGGCCCAAAGCCCCAATATTCTTGGGCCTAATTTTTTGGCCCGTGAGCCAGCCAGGTCCGAATTTTGTCGGGAACCCGCGATGCCTAACATAGGTCTTGTTGGGTTAGGCTAGATTTACACCCCTATCTCTCTCTTTTAAGATATCACATGTCTCTACTAATTCTCTAATTTTTTTTTTATGATTTTTTCATTACTAACAGAATTCAATGAGTCATATCCTGTCCATCAATCATATTCGGTTTGGAATATTAGGTGAGTGCAGGGCAGTCCTGAGTTATTAGTTATTAAGAGTCTAAGGCGAATTTTTTAAATTGAACCCTTCATATATCAGTACCTAAAAAAAAAAATTGTTTGGACAAAATAAAAGAGATAAAAATTTATTTTTATTGCTTTACAATTTAACAAAATTTAGATAATATATATATATATATAGTTGAACTTCAATTAATTGAATCGAATATTTATTTTTTAGCTTATCAATGCTATAATAACTAAAATTAATTAGGGGTAAGGATGCGAATTTTTGACACAACTCAAGCAATATATAAAATTAGTAAGTGATGATTAACTATTTTTCAACAAGAATTCAAGAATGATACGACTCAATAACATAAATTATTAGTTATATATTTTAATGTTTACTAAGGGTGTGTTTGTTTGGACGGACTGGATAAGGGCGGATTGTAATCCATCGGACTGTTAGTCCTCGGATACATTGTCCCCGGACTATTTGGTTGGATTAGATTGATAAGAATGGATGGTAATTTATTGAATTATTAGTGTTGGAATATATTATCTCGGGATTATTTAGTTGGATTAAATTTATATTTTATGTTTATTTATGTGATTAGATGTTTAGATTAATTTTAGTTATTTAATGTTTATTTGGGATATTATGGAGAATAATAAATGTTCAAATGACTATTTTATCCTTTTTAATTATTTACTAAGTAATAACACTATTAAACATAGTTTTAATATTTTAATTATTTTTAGTTAGATTAAATAAAAATTTGTTTTATTTTATTTTTTGCACAATATTTTAATTATTTTAATTTATTATTTTCAATTAAATTAAGTTTATAATTTATAATTTATATTTTTTATTTAATATATAATTTTAAATTAATGACAATAAAAAATAATTTTATTTAATATATAAATTAAATTTTCAACAGCACTAAAAAAATTTAATTTATAAGGTCATAATTTATAATTTATTAATTTTAAATTAACAACACTAAAAAAATAATTTATAAATGTTCAAAAGACTATTTTACCATTTTCTAATTGTTTGCTAAGTAATAGCATGGAGGTAAAATGGACATTTCACACATTAATTCCATGAGATACCAATCCCACCGAAATAATCTCACATCCCCCCTAGGATACAATTATCCCTCATATGAGGGACTAGTAGTCTGGAGCAGACTAATAGTTCAATTCCATGACCTAATCCTTCAAAACAAACACACCCTAAGGGGTGACATGACATTTTTTTAATCTTTTATTTAACTCCATCTAATTGAATAAAAAAGTATATAAAATAATAATTAAGGCTAAGATATGTATTTTTTTTTGTTACCTATTTTAGAGTCAATCTAGTAAAAAATATATAGTAATAAGGTACAATTTTTTGAATTAGAAAATGCAATTGAATTAAAATCAAACATTTTATGAATAATTTCATTTAGTAGAAATAAATTTTATAAAATTCAACTTATGAGAAGAATTTTAACTTTTCATACACTTGTTAAGTTATTTTTAACTAAAAGTGAAAGTTTTCACATTAAATATCAATTGGATACAAATCAAAATAACACCATACGACAATATAAAAATAAATGAATTAAACTCACATTAAAATAATTATGAAATAATACAATACAATACATTTTCTTAATTAAAAACCTTAAATTTTGTTTAAAATTGAAAGCCCGAGGCAATTGCCTTAGTCTCCTCACGCCAAGGCCGACACTGGGTGAGTATTGGAACACCAATTAACTTCTCTTCTTTGTCTCACATTGGACCATTATTTTTGTGTTTGCTAAAAATAAGAATTGACGAGAAGCTTAGGGGTTTTTTGGGAAGAAAATAAAATGTCAATTTTTAGTTTTTTATTCATTTTGAGTCACATCAATTTTTATATTTTTTTTATCAATAAAAAGATAAAATAGATTAAAAAAGTCAACAAATTAATTTTTTTTATCAACTTTTCAAAACACTCCTTATTAGAAAATTTGGTAAATTATTTGGGATTTATGACATTTTTTATTCTAGAATAGTCACTTTAAAAATAAAAATAAAAAGATGGATATCATATAGACTCTTTAATTTTATCTATTGAGTTTTAAAAACATAAATAAATTTAGGGCATCAACCTTAACTGATTTAGAGAATTAACTTATTACTATTTGATCCATGAGACTAACACAAATTTTGGATATAATCAAACAGAATATGTAACTAATTTTAATTAAATAATTTGTTGACTCTACAACCACAATGATTTAAAACTAAATATTACAGTGATTTATAATCAATACTAATTTAAATCATAATTTACATATATCATGCACTGTATATGTTGCAGCATGAACTCTATAGGTATTCTAGACTATAAAATAAAATAAACCCAACGAAATGGTCATTGAGTTTCACACTTTCTTTTATTAATTTTTTTTTTTTGAACGCGAAAAAGAAGTTCTTTAGAAGCATCATTGTTTTCACAAGTCTTGGTCTCGCCAACTACCTCACCACAATAGATATTCTAGACTATTATACGACAAAAGCATAATACGTCTGTAAATACACCCAGTGATTTATTTATTTATTTTTATTAATTATGACCAACTATAAGTAGTTGGGACCAAAATTAATTGTGATATTTCCATAGCATGGTGTGTTTGTGTAACAAACTAATAGATATTGTCCATTAAAAGAGCAAAATAGTGCTCCAATTGGATAGGCTCTAAACACGTGGCTCGTGTCTCATTCTTCTGTATGCACTTCTTCTAAAGAGGACCTCTTTTTATTCAACTCATATCAAAACCAACAACAGGAGGAGTGTAAGCTTGACCAGACCTGACTCATCATAGCTCATGTCGGGTCGTGTGGATTTCCGTTAAATTTTAGGGTGATTGAGCCGATTCAGGAGTCAAAAAATTAGGTCTAAGTCTCCGCTTAGGGGATATTCGGATTTGGGACGGGCTAGGCCTGAACATTTTTTTATATTATTTTTATCAAAATTTTATTATTTTTCACTAAAAATGATATTGGATCTCGGGCGGGTCAAGCAAGTTGGGCCTCGGACCAGGCCTTGAGTGGGCCAATGGGCTGGGCCATGAGGACGGGTTGGGTTTTAAAATGACGGCTTAGGCTCAGACCCAAGCCTAGGGTTCCGGACTAGGCTCAGACTCATACCTAATTGGGCCTAATCAGATCGGGCCCATCTCGAGCCACATGAGGATTTCGGACTATTTGTACACCCTAAACAAAATTAAATAGAGAATATAAATGGATAAATAAAAAGTTTAAAAGAGAATTTTATCGATAAATTTTTTAAATTTTATTCATTGATTTATAATTTATCTAATCCTATGTTTGTATCATAAATGATCAAAGTTCAACTTTGACTTGTCATTTCAACCTCAATAAGAGATAATTTTATGAACGGCTCTATTGGATGTTAAAATAATTCTTAAATCATTAGAAAATGTTGGAGATTTTCAAAAATTTATTACAGTTCAACCCACGATGATATAATCTAATAATTATCAATTTTTAATTGATTATACATTTAATTATATAGGAATCGATACTTTTATCACATCATTATAAATATATTTGTGAATATAAAATGTAAGTCACTAACATTGTTGATAAACCATTATTAAGTACGGGCCATATTTAATCTTTTCTTCTCCAACAGAAGTGTTAATGTGTGAACTAAACATTAGTGTATAATAATTGTGGAGACTGTCTTATCAAATAAAACTTCTCGTTAAGAAAAGGGAAAAAAAAACAGAAAAGAAAGTACTTAGTGGTGAATCCAACATTTAGTGAATTTTCCCATACCTATAAAAAAAAGTAGGACAACAAGATAACACAAGATTTTAATTAGTTCATTAAAATACCCATGTAATTATACATTAGCCAACACTTGTTGAATAAAATTAGATCCCATTTTTATTTTTGAGTACACTTTACGATAAATTTTTATCATCAACAATACATGTCAAAAAAAAAAAAAAATCTAAAATTTAAATTGTATTAACCAAATTTATTAAAATTATGACCATAATATATCAAGTTTCAATCTATATTACACTTTTTAA